ATTACATGTCGGACAGTATTTCATCTTTTTCTGGATTTTTACACTCATCAGTGTATGCTGTAACCCACAACATTCACTATATTTGAGGCGGAAACAAGAGCTCCCTGCAGCTGTTGATACCAGGAAAGGTAACCTTTCGACAAGCTAATTAGAGCAAGTTTTTATTTGTGTATTTTCTTGAAAGATTTTTAAAGCTTTTAAAAATGCATGCAGTATTGCAACACTTATTCCCCTTTCAAGTCTGTACTAGACATTACTTTTAAAAGATAGCTCTCATTCTTACCCAGCCTGTTGTTCCTACATCGAGACTAGGACACTGCTGTGGTGTTCCTAGGTAGTCCTTCCTTCAAGCTATCTACAACATGGAAGGGGTTGCTACTTTCTTCTTAACAGTCTGATATTCTTGGGTATTTCCGAGATAGATAATGTAGTTCACAAAACACACAAAAACCACTGGGCCTCTATAATGAAAGAATTAATTTGGGGAACATATGCAACAATGTTTTTGCATCTGGAAAAAACACTGCAGAGCGAACTAGTTGCTATTATTCTAGCATCCATGTCACAGTATTCCCCATTATTCATATGTTCAACTTTGTTAGTGGATGTAGAGACTTTTTCTCCGTTTCACTTGTGATGTAGCTTGCCATTAATTTTCCAGAGTGTTACTGAAGCTCATTTTGTTGCATTTGGGACACAGGTATATTTACACTGCACAGTCAAAGATTTTGAATGACACCTACTATCATTAAATTGTTTTCTAAGTTTAATGTTAATTTCTATAAGAAAGACACATTAAAAGAAATTAAAGAAGAAAACATTCCATATAATAATTCCACATAATTGGAAAGAAATCTATAACTTCACAGAATTTTTTGTTAAATCAAAATACAGTTAGAGCAAGAAATGCCTCAAAGGAAGTCGGTTCCAGTACCCACAGCATACACTGGCCTACATACGCCACTGCATGTATCCTAGTAAATGCCTAGATGCCTAATAAATGCCTAAATGTTCCCATCCATTAGCAATATTCTTGAAGCACCTAAATGCTTGCAAAGTTCTGGGTCCTCAGAAATTCATCTAGACGTTTTGTAGGAGTGCAGAGTTTTAGTCCTCTTCCTTCTTGTCCTTTTTCTCTTTCTTCATGCCCTCTGGAACGGGCATGAAGAAAGGAAAGGGCTACAAAAGCCAGATCTGCCATTTCTGTGCTAGTCTAGAAGTATTTTCCACTGACATAAAACAGAATGGTCACCTGCTGCTATTACAGTGCAAAAGAAACTATACAATAAAAATAATTGCCAACGGTCTAGAAAGTTAAAGACCAGACAATTCAGGATTAAGGATCAGCCTTCTGATTACGTTTGGCCTCCTCTGAGGTGTTAGTGTCATTGAACATTAAGGCACAGAGCCTTAAATCCATTTGTAACGTCATTTGCCCTTACATCAGGATTATGATGAGAACTCATAGTAAAATGAGTTTCGTCTGACATATTAGTACCAATTCAGATGGTAAATTCCATAGCTTACGTTCTTGTAAGATGTAAAGATTATTAACTCATTTAATGCATGCCACAAAACACACCTCAGATGGTAACTGCTTTTGATACTTTAAGCCAACTCCTTCTGTGGCTTAAATGTAAAAATATGTAAAAATTTCCTGTTACTACCCACTACTCCAAATCCCTGAGCTATCCACATCAACAGCTTTTTAATTCTGATTTGCGTTTCTTTAAGTCACTATCTCTAGAAAGACCAAAATACATCAGTAGCAAATTAGGTTTTCAAATGAACCTTCACAAGAAATTTGGCAATTTTCTTGCCTAATTAACCTTTCTGTACAATGTTTTTTCTTCAATATCATCTCTAACAAGTACTATGAGGGGAGATGCTAGAAGAACCTTAGCTGTTATGGTCACCAGCTACAAATACAAATATATGATCGACCTATTTGCACTTTTAACAGGAATCAATCCCAATTTCAGGGATGATTGTCCCCAGGTGATACAGATACACTGTATGATGTACCCTTTAATTACAACTTTAAAACCAAGTTTGACATTTTTAGAAAACATTTTTATGCTGGATAGGTACGTCTTTGAAGCAAGATACTTATCAGGCAAAGTATTTTTTCTATTCTGAAGGTTAAACTGCTGCTTTTGAGATATGACAAGGTACATAAGCATTGCTCATCAGAATTTCCCATTTTTACATACAAAAATACATTTAATTGATCATATTTCTACACACCTAAAAAATAATCGAGCCTACTATTTAAAAATGTTCATGCAAGTCTTAACAAAAAGAAAAAGCTATACATCTGTAGTTGGAGCTAGCTGGGTTGTAAGAGGAAGACAAACCAAGGAATAGATACATAAAAAGGGCTGTCATTACAAGAAAAAGTAAAAAAGAAGCCTTCCAAAATACAGTTCAGCTGTAGCGGGTATAATTCTGGAATCACTATGATTCCTTGACAACCTATTACACAGTTGCAGATTTCAGTTGTTTTATAATCACAGATAATGCACAGATTTATACTAATGAGATGTCAATGTGTGGACAAGTAGGACTGCAAGCTATTATTTTCTCAGACATTTTCGTGGCATACGCTAAGCGCAGAGAAACATGAGCAACGTCTGTTAAAGAGGCAATATCGTTTACTCAGGCACTTGGATACAGCAGACTAACTGCTGGTTCTCAAAAGACTGTAGCAGGGAAATACTGATACATTTTATAAACAGGAATATTAAACACAAAGTCAACAGGAATATGGAAAAAGAAGGAAGAGTATTTTGTGTTTCAGTCAAAACTTCAAAGGTTTAATTCTAATCTCTTAGAACAAAGAGCTCAAATGCTCTGTAGTCCTTTTGTCGCACCGCAGTAATACCTATAAAACCAAGGAAGCTCAAATGCTTCAGAGCCTTTGACCTACATCGCACATTAAACACAGGCATAGCAGCCTGTTAGACCTTATCTTTGAGCACTCCTATGTTTTTGAGACAGAGGCACAAACGTTTCCAGGCTGAAAAGATGGATGATAAGAACAAAATAGACAATACTACAAGCCACATTAATAAGGAAAAGTGTGCTACTGAGGTCCCAGGGTACAGCTCAGTATGACCTAAAGGAAGAGTCCAGTCTCCTGCAGAACATGAAATGAGTGATCTCAGTCTCAGTGAGTGCTGATATAATATCCCCATGCAACGTAACTAAGTAATATACTCCTTTGTTTCTGGTGGTGATAATTTTTGGAAAGGAAGGCTTCTTACTATAAAATAACTATCAAGGAACCTACAATCCTTACTGCAAGAATAGCGATATGAGATCCAGCTTCCTTATGAATTTTTAGTTTCCGTAATTATATTCTGCTTACTGAAATTATATTTCAATATTAATTGCATATAGAAAGATTCATTGATTTTTTGTTTCAACCTCTGTACTGACAGTACATATCAATAGGTGCTATACGGAAACTACAAATTGATTACCAGTAGCAACGAGTAAGCAATTCCTATTTATATTTTTTAGAAAAGTGTTTTAAGGCTAGCTGGAATTTAAGGGGTATATTAATTTGTCCTTTAGTTATCCTTTTGTAAAACTTTCATTTTTATTTGAAATCACCGATTTGTCCTAGATCTATGCAGTTAAATACAGGAGCAAAATACAACCCCGTAGTTGGAAATAATCAGGATAGTAGTTAATCACTATAATTCTTGACTGTATTAAAATGATTTAATGTCAAATAGTTTTCACCAGAGCACTTTTCATCAAAGCTATGTATCATTTTAATATCTTAGTCAGAGACTTCATAAGTTGAAGGAGATCTTGTGTGACCCTACCCCTTAAAAAAAGTACACGAGACTTTTGCCAAAAATCTGTATTTTGGCAGTTCAAGGAGCAAGGTTAAATATCCCCCAAGCAAAGCAAAGACTATTTTGGAGTTAACTGATTTCAGTAAAAAAGAAAAAAAAGGAAAAAAAAGTGCCTCCAAATGAAAGATCATTTCTAAAAGTTTAAACATCTAGGAAAATATTTACTATAACTCATTTCAGTACACTTTAAATATATAATTGTCCATTTTAGAGATGGGAAAAGTGAGTCACAGTGTGAAAGGAAATGTCCCATGGAAAAGCGGAAGGTAGATGTTCTCTGTTCATAATCCAATTGCCAAACCTGCTGGATCACATCCCTTTATTTTTTTTTTTAAACTAAAACTATGCTTGACCCCTGACTTGGTCCTAAGCCCTGCCTGCAGTAGTTTGAAAAACAGGATCAGAGATAGGCTGGCTTGCCTTAAGTAAGATGCTGTTTTGAAAGCTATTTCTAACTGCATTATATCCCCAAAGACCAGAGTGGGCAGAAGAACAAGCCAGCCAGGGTACAAAAGTCCAACTATAACAACGCATCTGTTCTAACGTTCAGGCTTGCTCCCAGGCTGTCCTTCCCATTTCTTGGATATCTTGTACAATTAGAATATTTCCTATGTCCTATTATCAGTTTCATTCAGATCTCTTCCGGCTACAGATGCAGACTAAAGAAAATAGATCGAAAGAGATTCCTTCCCTTTGGGTGTCCCATAATGTTTTATGCTTCTGTATCAGTTTTTTTTCCCAATATAAACACAATAAGCAGAAACTTTTTTAGTATTTAATACTGTATTACCACAAACACGTTATCAATGCCCAGTAGGTAACTGATCCTATGAATTTGCATCCTCACTTATCTTAGATGCAAATCCATCCTCCTCGTAGATATGCTATGCAGACATGGTTCATTTACCAAGTGACAGACAGATTTTTGCTCCTCAGCAAGGAAAGTAGCTGTTTCCCAGCTTCTTAAAATTTTACCAACATCAGAAACAGGCTTAGAATTATCCTCAAAATTCATCCTAATCTTTCAATGAATTTTAAATCCTCCTTAGTTGCAGTTTTTTGATGTTCTTACAGGGCAAACTCTCAAGGTTGTTTAAAAAAAAAAAAAAAAAAAAAAAGGAGAAACCATACCTTAGTGCTTGTCGCTTGAAAGGGAACTTTTGAGCCCTTTGTCATGGGGGCCGTCAGCTTCTCTGCTGGATTTGCAGGGATCAGATTCCTAGCGGGAGGGTGATTGTGCAGAACGGAAGAGAGGCAAAGCTGTACAGTCTCCTTCAGAGCTTTCAGCTGTGACTCCTGGGGAGAATAAGAAATCATCAGATCTCAGAGATGTGTTATTATCACCAGAACTGCTTGGTTTCTCTCTCTGCATTAAACCAAACATTCAGGAAAAATTGCTGCTTTTTTTTTTTTAAATTAAAGAAAGAAATTAAGGCTGTTTAATGCATTTTTTAATATGATTACCCCATAGGTTACTGTGCATTACACATCAAGCTGCCCAGGAAGCCATTGCACTCTTCTCTTTCACCCATGCAATTTTATCCATATTAATTATTGCGAAGACTTATTTAATATTACTTAATCTTAAAAGGAACATAAATACAATCTGGCAAATATTATACAGTGTGTAGACTTCTACGTATAATAGTAGACAGAACTAGATGTTTACCTGCATCGCAGACATACACTTTGCATGGAATTTTACACCCTTCGGAATAATTAGTATTCTTCTACACATTATAAATATTCATTTTATTCCAACAGAAAGATGATTTACCTCATGCACATACATGTACACATTGTGCTGTTGTCTGACCTTCAATCTGTTAAAAATATCATTGTCCATATCCATTACTGACCATAAAGCAGAACTAAAACTTAAGTGGTGAATAAGCTGCCATTCTCATAATGTTTACAAGATAGTGCTTGCAACTGAAATCTGGGCCAGTCTGGAAGAAAACCAGTCAGTACAGTATTCAAAAAAAAAAAAAAAAGACCAAAAGACTACCACAAAAATACTGTTCATACACAGCACAATAAGGGAAATAAGACATGGAAAGGAGCTCACTTGTTTGTGAACAAGAGTATCTTTCCCAGAAGATGCATGCGTTGAGGAGGAACACTTTATTATTAAAGAGGACAGTATGAGTGGATACTTATTAACATGTATGAACCCTGAGTCAGACTGAGATGTCTCTAACACAGCCATTTCAGCATTTCTGAACGTCCCCACACGTGCAGCATACACCTCAGCTCTTCTTGCTCCACCATCAAACAGCTGCCAAGAGGCTGTCTGATGATGAGCAGCTGCTTCTGTGAACAGGGAAAAGGATTCCTCCTGCACAGGGAGGAAGTGTCTCTTGATCCCAGGAAGAAGTTCAACTGAGGCTGGGTCCTCTGGAATCACACTCCTCCCGGAAATCCCTCTAAATAGCTTCTAGTCCTCTCACCTCCCTCCTGCCCTGCCCTCCACAACCTCCTCTGCCTTGGAGACTGCATTATATTTTGCCAATTCAAAAGGCAAAAGCAGAGTACATTATTATGTTTTCATCCTGGAGGCAGCAAAGTTTAACCCTGACTACACTGCTAGGAGACCTCTAGGACGTCAGCACGAGAGAAACTTAAGGAAATGCAATTGGAACAAGGATGTGATTTTACCAAGTTTCACATAACCTTTGAAATATCTGACTGACTGCTGGTCACAATAAGCTGTTTGCCAGTCAAAATACTGCCAGCACATGATACATGTTCTCATACTTCCCAGACCTGTTTATATTCTTGTTATATTGCTGAATTCAATACACAATAATTTGGGCTGTGGTAATGCAAAAAATTTCAGTCTTTCAGGGGTTCCCGACTGGCAGTAGAAAACTGCTGTAGTGTAAATATACTTATGAGAGACACTAAGTCCACTGTCAGGACAAAAAAATTTTAAGAGAAACATTTAACAGAAATGTCTGAAATCTCTGAAAAATGCAATAAAATGTCTATTTATAGGCACAGCTTGAGACTCAATGGCTCAATTCTTCGTTTCAAATATAGCTCATGTTCCAAGAGCACACATCGCTTTGTATTGTTTCTATTCCTTTAGCTGACACTACCTGGGCTAACATTGTCAAAACAGTTGATTAAGTCTTCACTGAAGATATGGACGGACTTTTGGCCATCCCTAACTCTTTTTAGTTCATACAGAAATGCTCTCAAATAGGGGGAAAAGGTGCTTTCGACTTTAATAGCTATATTACTCTGCAGTTAGAACTAGTGAAGCGGGGGTACTTCTAGTTTCACAAAACTATCTCACAACCCAATGATAGGAACTTTGTCTTTCTCCTTCATTTGTGCTGCTTTTTTAACTCCCTTTGCCAGCTCCATTACCACTGCATTTTCACAGCATGTGAGTAATGATGACATCCAATGAATATCTCAAAGATAATTTGCCAAAATACGACAACAGCCTTCTGGTCAGCCTAGAGAGATACAGAACCAAAACTGTGCCCTAAATTATAATCCTATATTATTTAATAGGAAAGAAAGAGAGGATCAAAGAAGCCAGTTGGGTTTGCTGCAAATCCCCTTTTAATTTGCAGACTGAATTCCTTAATAGCGTTCTCATCAAAACTTCCTGATGTCAAACGTTCTTTGTCTTCTGTTTCACAACTGTCTGCATTATAATGAACAACTGTATTTAGAGTATATTTACTGCAAGCATTGTGGTCTTGTCATTGCCACAGACAGCAGATTGGCACTGACAGCAGATGAGTGCACATGTGTATGAGTGCATACGCATGCAAAGAAGGAACATGCTTAATTTTTAGATTAATTTGTGCAGCAGCTCAGTTCAGTGTACTAACAAGAAACATATATCCCACCAGAAACTCAGCACACAGGTCTGGGTGGTGGCTATTGTGAGCATCACTTGCACAGATGACCTTTGGCAATGCTGGAGGGAAATCCTCAGCTAAGATGACGACTTCAGTGATTACCGCATTGAAGATCAAAATAAAAGTCTTTAGTACAAGGGACGTTTTTGTGTGTTTATACACACACATACACACGTATGTATATATTTGTGTGTGTGTATCTCTCTCTCTCTATATATATAGATTATCTATATATACACACAAACATATACTTTTTTAAATTTCAATAGAACCTGAAAATACTAGAAAACTAAACATAAAAATTAGTCTTCAGTAGTATGTTGAATTTTTTTTCCTCACTCTTCAGTTCCGTCTTTTGGCATACATTGTCCATATTTAAAAACACAACCACCATGTCAATTAACCAAAAACTGAGACAGAATGTGTACATAAAAGTCCTAAGTGGTAAAAACTTTCAATTCCTGTTTCTTGGAAAGAAAAGAAAAACAGAAAAATTTCAATTGAGAACTTAGAATGATATTGTAATTTTATTTAAAAGGTTAATCTTGACAGTCGTAAGAGTCCAGAATAGGTTTCTCAATAAGACTTTCTCCCTAAAAGACCTCAGAAATTCAAATTCAAAAATTTCATTCTACTGAGACTACTCCATTTTCAATATTTCACTTCATCCAGTAAAGAACTAAAACTGAAATATTAGAAATTTCATCCAGATACATTTCTCAAGATTTTAATGGAAACAATGAAACACTTTTGGATCAGCCATTTTTAGTCAGAAAATATTATCCAGGAATTTTGAATATGCTGTGGAAAAAATTACTGAAAAAAATAAGGCTTGTAAATCAAAATTCATAAGACATTTCCCGGACTCTCAACACACAAGAATGGTTGGTAAAAAAAAATTCAGTTTCCTTTTCCCTCCAGTTCCATACTAGGTGGAGCCATTGCTCTGTGTTTAGGGGACAGCATGTTCTTTCTGCATGTACCTGAAGGCTAGGAAGGAAAGCAACCCCTGCTACCCCTCAGATGTAGCTGGGTACCCCAGGTTACTCACTCGTGAGCGAAGTGGTGATCTCGCTTGCAGCTGAGTGTCCAGGATGGTCCCGTAGCACAAAGATCATCAATGGGCAGACTCAAACCTACCTGAGAAGGCTGAGGAGATTAAGTACCTGTTCCTACCATGGTCTGGGCAGCTGATAAACTGCCTCCCTGTTGCATCACATTTTCTCTGCAGATACCCTAGATCTAGAAGAACGTTTCACTGTTGCTCACAGGAGTGTGTGTGTCCTGGTTTGCCCCCTGCCCAGTTCCTCTCTGCTTGCCTGTCACAAGCCCTGACGTGTGCGGATGCGCTCTGCAGACAGACGACCTCCTTCAGGCCTAGCAATCCCAGCAGACTTATGTATTTCTCTACTGCATCCTACTTGGAACTACAACTAAATCTCAAACAAAAATCGTATTAGCTACAGGCACATTCTCTTTAGTGTACTTTAGTGCACAAAGAATCTCAGCCTGCTGTTTACTATGGGTCTTTGAGATGTTTCTTTCTAATTTGACTGCCCTTCACTTAAATAACTTTGCAGCTGTGCTTAACTCCATGCGTTATAATTAGGCCCACTGACTTCAGTACAATTACTCCCACGTACGTGTAATTAAGTATGCACCTAAATCTTTGCAAGACTTTCATTTATTTTTGTCAAATTACACTGAAACACTCATAGCTGATAAACACGCTTAAATTACTTAACACGTCTTACTTTGTCAAGGGCTGCCTTTTCCAATTCATCTTTTGCAACTGCTAGTTTTTGCTCCAGATCCATTAGCTGTTGTGCCTGTGAGAATAAACAAGAAAAAGATGATACAATCTACAACACAAGTTTTTTTCCCCATAATTCCTCATGCAGTGCCTGTGAGAGAGGAAAGGATTTAAATTCTACAAATAATGCATATGAACTGGGTCAGAATCCTTTGCCAAGCGACCAGGCCTCAAGGGATACTTTCTTCCCGAGAAAAAGTGTATTTCTATGTGGGAACTGGGCTCAAACCTTCTCCACTAATGTGAATGCAAGTTTACTCTTTAATCGCAATGTCATTGAGAAAAATAATTCTATTCTATAAAGTATTTATAATTATACCACTGAATATTTTGATTTTTCCTAAGCAAGCTAACAATTTAAATTACTCCGTGTATCTAATCTTCTGTTAGCAATTTGAAACACTATTTTGTTTTTTTAGGCATTGAGACGTTAATGCCCAACGTTATGCCTTAACATAACTAGAGAAACTAGAATAATTCCAAACATTAATGTGCACAAACTCCTCGTGAAAGGCTACTGGGTTGTCTATTGGTAAACAAGTGGTTAACCCCAGATTTCTCCATTTCCTTCCCTAGAGATCCAAAAGTAGGAATCCACAAGGCCAGTTAATTACGCAACTACAGAGTGAGAATGCATTTTGGGAGATTTGGGTTTGAAGTCAGAGTCAGGCAACTAGTCTGAACCACACAGAAAAGGATTGTTTGCTTTTTATATTACACCATATTATTTTCTCTTATATTCCTTCAGGAGGAGATCTGGCTTCTCACAGCATGTATGGAATATATAGGGCGCAGGGGTTTGGGAGATACTTTTAAAACTCAGTAAATAAAGGCAAGGATTTTCTCTTCTTCTCTTCCCTAGGAAAGAGATAAAATTAAAGAGAATTCTTGCTTTAGGAAGATGCATCCTCTGCAAGAACTATGCATTTAAAGGAAGCAGGAGCTCCAGTTTCACTGAGTACAGTATATTACTTACCACCAGAAACGCATAGCATTAGCTCTGGTACTCCATTGACTGGAACTGTAACATTGGTGATACTGAATGAAAAAGTGGTCTAGCTGTCCAGCCCAGACCTTGTGGAAATCAATCATCCTCTCTGTAACACTGGTCTTTCAGCAATACATACTCTAAGAAATGCCATCCTGGCCTTTCATTTATCAAGTAAACTTTATTTTGTACAATTAACTTTCAAATGGCAATTGAAATTATTTAATTCTATAGGCTACTTTTTAAATCTAGCTTCTTATTAATGAAAACATGTATTAATTTGTATAGTGGTACCATAATAAAATAATTTGAACAACAATAATTAAAAATTAAGGAGGAAGGAAAAGCGTTCAACTTCTTTAAGTGGTGCCATGCCTGCCATTCACAATTCTCCTCCGAAGGAAGATCATTAATCCAATACATTGTAACAAAGTTACTCACATCAAGGGAAATATTTCCAGTTTATGGCGAAAATCTATTCTTCCAAAGGATAGGTGAATACCTATTAATAACCTCTTCTGAATGCATCAGTTATTAAGCCCTGTACGTATTTCTGGTACTATAGTAATATTTTGATGGACTGATTTTACCCGCATCTTTCTTGTAAATATATTTTATTCACAGATTACTGAGCCAATAGGCCAGTGATATCAATCCAACTGACATGAAGTGACAATAAAATCCTTGCATTAAAATGCATTTTTTTTGAAATAATGAACTGCTCACTTGAAAGTGGTACTCTTTACATCTTAGTCCCAAGACCACAGAACGATCAATTTTTTTTGGCAAGCTTTCAAAATCATCTATCAAACTTGAATTCATATTGCAGCAGTTTTACTGCTGCTTTAATTAAGAGGATTGTAAAGGAGTCTAATTCAATTAACATGGTTTAGACACTGAATACAGAACAAGGACAAAATATCAACCAATAGGACTATGAAAGGCCCATTCTGATAACGGCTAAAAGCTCTTTGAAAAGTATGGTCCACGAAAACTAAAAATGTTAAGTTTGCCTTAGGCATTCTGGAAGAATCAGGTCCTTATAGAGGAAATAATGAGATAAATCAATTCTTGATTCTCTGAAAGAATGCACTGAGCAATTACTGTCAGTGAAGTATACTCTACTAACTCAAATAAATGTACTAACCTTTACTTATTGTGAATTACACTACACATAGTGCCCATGTTTAAAGTTTTCTAGACATACATACAAAAGGAAAAAAAGAAGAGTAATCTGACCTCAAGCAGACAGAGAGAAATCCAAAGTGACTTGGAAGTTATTCATAGCTTACAATTGAGAACAAAGTGAATTTCTGCATCTACGTCAAATAATGCACAAACAATACCTTCATGTTTTTGGTACAGTGCTTTTGAATTTTCAAGAATTTATAAATATCATACTTATATAACATAGATAGTTGAGATGTTCAAATTTCTCTCTCAAACTCAAGGCCATACCACCAGCAACAAAGGAGTAGGCGAGGACTCCGTTCCACTCCTGGAACAATTAAGGGTCATTTCATATCATTGAATAGCATGGCTGCTGTGCAGTTTAAAAACATTTTCAAGACAGCTTTCTAGCATTTTTAGAACTTCATGCAACATGCCATTCAATGTGGAATAAGAATTAAATGGTGGTGGAGTTTTTGTTGTTTTTGTTTGGTTGTAACTGCTAACTGCTCAAAATAAACAGGAAAAAAATATGCCACTCCTTTTATTTTCCCTAAACAAAATTTCACAAAGTATTTTTCCCAGAAAAGGCGAGGTAACAGCTTCACCTCAGAAGGATTCCTCACACAGGCAGAGATAAACATATTTATGCCTGGGTTTTCTTCACGACATAAGAAATTAGAATTTTATTCGGTTGCTCATTACGAAACTTTTTAAGCCTTATGCCTTCAATACTCACAACTGCTGCTTTTTGAGGACAAAATTATGACGCATTCTGCTGAATTAGAAAAAATGATTGACTAAGTGATGTTTAATTACACGTTAAATAGACGGGATATTCTGAACTACTTTTTTTTTTTCCACTTAGCCCTTAAACAAACGTTTAAGGGGGAAAAAAAGATAAAATACTTGGTATATGTATATTTATTTTATAATTTATCATAATTATACTTTCTAACTGGGACAACTTCTTAATTGGAAATCACTTAACTGGAAACTGGGACAACTGCTTACATTGAATGATTTATCCTGTAAAATAGGAGTCTACTGTGCTTATTCTGCAGGCATTATTTGCATCTCAGAAAAACACATACGCTTTGTGCTTCTGAATTGTACTACTTACCGTAGCAAAAGAGGTTAAATGTAATTGAAAATAACACTTTTTTTGGTAGCTATACCATTTAATCAGATGTGCAGCTAAAACCAGATATTCAGCAACATCTGAATTCTATTTTAAGCACTTATAAGAAAAAGAAAACAGCTAATTAAAAACATCATTTCCTCCAAAATCTCACAGTTTGTACATTTTCTTGATGCTTATTGCTGCTGCAATGCTTTCAGCTCTCATTAGTCACTATAATGGATGTGTAGTAAAAGGAAATTAAGGCCTTTGTGTTTGTTATCAGTGGAAATTTCACTTTTCCTCACCAAATGGTATCTTTTCCCCACACTCATGCTCTTCCTTCACATTAAAAAAATAGCTACGATTAAAGTAAATTTGCAGTTCATTAGTTCATTTACTAAAGAGCTCAAGTTTTACCTAAAGGAAAAGAGCCATTTTTCTGTAGAAGCACAACATGCTCAGAGCCACTTCACTACACTAACCTAGGTTCCTCGTTGCTCCCCCCCCGAAAAAAAAATCTCCCATGGTGGGTTTTTCTCCCTTTAGATCAAGCCAGAGTACCCTGGTATGTATTAGTTGTTATTTCCAAATGCTAATAGGTCCACTTCATTACAGCAACCTGTTGCTCTTTTGTTTTTGATGTCAGCCTTCTTTAAATAATTATATTACTCATTTTAGCAGTAAGAAAACAAACATTGCGAGGGTAAACATTTTAAAATTCATTTTAAGCATACCAGTGTGTTCTATAACTTTGTCAGTAGTGTGCTGCAAACATCTGCTTCCTTCTTCTTGAGAAAGGTGAGTTCAGATCTTGTCAGAGGCTACAACTTTTTGTTTTTTGGGGGGATTATTTCTAGGCTTTGACTCCACCCAGGAAAATAAACAAAAAAAAAAAACAAAAACAGACCTAATATTCCTGGCAATACCACTCAACTTAGAAGAATTTGTCAAGAAATAACGATCATAAAGCTTTCAATTATGAAAATATTACCTCATATTCAGCTGATCAATAAAGACAAAAATCACCCAGACCAAACAATATTCATTAACAACAACATGTTCATTAATTATTGCAAAGTGGCTTCAAATCTGTCAAAGAATAGTGCAGAGATTTAAAAAAATAATCTCAAAATGAAGATTAAATTTTACTTTATTTATTTTGTAAAATTTCTATAGCACATCATAAATATCATCATAAATATCCTTCCTATAGGGGACTCCGAATTTACTGTCAGCACTGTCTTAGAAAACGGGACCAAGTAACAGGCAGACAAAGTGATGCAGCACTATACTCTTAAATAATACATACATCTGACAGAAGCTTTATTTCTTTCTGATTTGGAACAAATGCTGAAGTGTTCACAATTCCCTACGTACTTGAGACCAGATGCATCATCGCGCTCCAGATGATGCCGGAGAAAGGCACAACTCCTGGCCCTGGGCAGGAGAAATCCTGGGCAGGGAGCAAGGAGCAGGCGAGGAAGCCTGCCCACCCAGGGAGTGGGGCATGTGGCCACCCAGCCCACCCCAGCCCCAGCTGGGAGAGGCTCCTGCCTCCCCCTTCTCCGGGGCCCACGGCACAAATCGCCACGAGTCCTGCAACGCAATTCACAACGCAACTCGCAACGCGACTTGCAGGTCAGCGAGTTTTCCGTTCTAATTTTTCAGAAGAAAGTGTTTTTCTCGGGAATTGCTGCAGCACCTATCACTGCAGAAGTTTAAATGCTGAAGAAAA